AAGGACTAATTTCTGAATAAATATAAAACTACAGAAAGTTTTATATTAAATACAAACCATATCTTAAATAAAATTTGTGTGGGTTGCAAAGAAATAAAATTTCTATTTGCAAATATCATAATTGTATTTACAGAAAAAAAAACCCCAAGAATAATGGAGTTCAACAAAATTTCAAGACACAGAATCGATAAGGAAAAACTCATTATATTTTTGCGCACTAAGAATGAACATATGAAAAGAGAAATATAAAAGATCATAATATCTCCACAGGAAATACAGTTTATGTATAAACTTAATAAAAACATGTACAATATCTGTATCTTGAAAATTGCAAAGTGCTGATGAAAATTTTTTTTAAAAACCCCAAATAAATGGGGAAACAGTCAATGTAGCAAACCTGTCAATTCTTCCAGCTTGATTTATAGATGCAATATAATTCCTGTTAAAAATCACAGTGCCTTTTTGTACATGCAGAGGAGTTTATTATAAAATTTACATGTAAAAGGAAGAACACACAATAGCTAAAACAATCTAGAAAAATATCAAAAGTAGAATGAATTTTTCAACCTGGTATTAAGAGTTACTATACAATTGCAGTAACCAAAAAAAGGTGATGTTAGCGGTCGATACAGACACAGAGATCAACAGAACAGGATACAAAACTAGAAACAGATCCATAAAATACATTCGACAGATTTCTGACAATGCTATAAAAAATATAACAATCGGGGAAGAACAGTCGTTTCAATATAAGGTACAGCTGCAGTTTCACTGGTTTAAGAACAAAAAAAGAAGTCAAATGAAGAATCTTAGAACAAAACATTGTGTGAAAATTAACTCAAAATAGATCATAGGTTTGATTTTAACACATAAAATATGAAGTGCTTAGAAAATATTAAGGAATAAGAGCTTTTACTTGAAACCAACAATGTTATCCACAAAAGGGAAAAAAATTTTTTTTGAGTCTCACCACAATTAAAACTTTTGCATTATAATAGACACATGAAAAAGATTCAAAACAAGCTACCCACATAAAAAATATTTGAAAACAACAGGAAAACTGTTAGGAATCTATAGAGTCTTCAAACTAAACATGTAAGACCAATCAACTTTAAAATGGATAAATGACATTTAAAAGCTACACATTTTATTGAAGAATGTGTACAGATGGTAAATAAAAAAAATCTTCAACAAAATTAGTGATTAAAAGTTTAAAATGAAACTATAATGAAATACAAATGATCAACCATTGTAGTGAGTAGTTAATGTAGGATGACCAGTTCTGAATCATTAATACACTGCTATGGTAAGGTTGCTTATGTATGGCTAAGCCTTTGCCTGTTTATGGCCAATGTGAGAGTGAGAGGAGGAAGCGGGAAAAGCAGAGACTTGACTGAAATAGGGGAATACAGAACTCACAGAAAGACGGAAGGGCTGGCCTAAACCCACTGCGGTTTAGTTCTCATACACCTGGTGCTCACTCCGCGGAGCTGTGTGTCCTGGGGGTTGGGAGGCAGTTTCTGCTTCCTCAGGACTGACAGTCTGACATTTTCTTCAGGATTCACACTGGATAACATTCACATTCACGAAGAGATGAACGGTGGAGAACGTCTGAGCAGACGGATGACAAGAGTTGTAGGGTGGGGTGCTATTTCGTGTTTATAAAAGGGAATTCTTGCTATTGTAATAGTCTTCATGTCTATGATGGTGGGCAATAAGCAAATAAATCTAAAACCAAGGATAAGCACAATTATGTTTGTAAAACTAATGCTTTGAATAATGCTTAAAATGATATTTTGTTTCATTATCTATAATTCTTACCAATAGAACTTAAGTAGTTTGATAAATAGAACAACACCAGTAAGTCAATTCCTGAGCTAAGAATTTGAATCTAAACTCTAAGCTTAAATCTAGGGAAGTTTAAGTCTCTGCACTATGGTACTCTCGTAGAGAAGGGCAACTCACTATGTCCTCCTAAAATGTCAATGTTATATTATCTAAGGCGTCTCATGAAGGTCAGTATTTCTTTTATTATTGTAAGAATTTGGTTTCCCAGAGGGGAATGTTAAAAGGCTTGTTTCACTTGTTTCTTCCCTGTTTACAGGGTAGCATGGCATTATGGGCTCTTAAGGCCCATGTCTATTTCTTTCTTTCTTTCTTTCTTTTCTTTTTTTTTTTTTCACGCCTTCATCTTGCCGCGGTGCTACGTTTTTATTTTTACTAGGTTACTGTTTCATACCAGTTGGTAGACAGTCCCCTCGTCTCTATTTGCTAGTTTTCAGCGTTGCAGGCTCTGCCAGCATCCTTCGCCCAGCTAATACAAACAAATAAACAGCAGGTGTCCTAAACTTCCATGCTGCATCAGCTCCAGCTCCGCTACCTACCAGCCCGGAATCCCCAAACCTGCTCGTGTAAGTAGCTACCCAGCTTGACAGATAATGTCGCCCATTACAGGGTTGTTTATTCTCATTCTCTGTTGATTTTCTAGACTCGAAGTTCATTGGTTCTCTCTGGGCACCCTTTTAAAGTAGACACATCAAGCCTATGATCTCTTGGGAGTCAATTTCTGTACATCACAACCCACTCACTTTCCAAACCAAAGACCAGCAAACAAAGCCTTAAAAAAAGTAATTTTCACTTAGAAGTCAGGGCCCCTCTTCCTAATGAGCCAACATGAACCTCATTTTTTTCCAACAATCTTGATGATTTTGCTTGTATGATTTGTTACTTCGGATGAAATTTTCAGACGTTTGAACAGGAAACTCTCTACGTCGGATTCCATGTCCATCAAAACGCAGTCTGAAGCCTGAATAGTGATCATACGATCACTGAAAAAGTGGGTGGTAGCAGGGAATTTGAGGATGTTTATGTGATCGGATTCCCTGTTGAATCAGTAAAAATTTCAGATCCTTTGGCTTTCTGAAGCAGCTATCTTAGATGTAGATTTAACTTCTCTGCACTCACGCCATCTGGTGGCTATGGGTGTTAAAAGCTTGGTTTTAAGGAAGACACCTAATGACTGGGGGCGGGGTACACTAAGACCAAAATCGGTTGGCCACTACAATTTTCCTGTCTCTCCTCGTATCCATCACCCCTCACCCGGACACCTTTTCCTCCCTTGACCGTTTTAGATTTGCGCAGGGATGAGCAAAGAGCATGAAGACACACACACACACTCTCAGGGACGCACGCCTCTGCACGCTGACATTTAGAAAAGGGTCTAAATTCTCCTGTCATTTGCAAAGGACAGGAAAGGAGTTGTGGCAAGACCTAGCCAGAGGAGACTTGTCTGACTTTTCCGGCAAGTTGGACGGGTAATATATTAACCTCAGTAACGTTAACATCTGTTTTGGACAAAAATAATTTTGAAAAAAAAATAAGAAAAAGAAGGGGAATCACTTAAAAATTCTGCTGCGGAGCTTTGCAGGTTTTGCGACCCAGTCGCCCCCCAAAGGCAACCAATTCCTTCGCGTTCCGCTCCGCTCACCCGCCTTTCCAGCTTTCCTCTTTTATTTATTTTTTTCTTTTGCCCCCCTTTCCCACGCTCATCTGGAACCGGGGCTCCGGAGGCAGCAGTAAGCCACCGGTCCCCTTCCTCCTCTCTTCCCCCCAGCAGCCGCGGCCAGGCGCCTCGAAGCCTCCCTTTGTTCATCCAAGGCTCGCTCATCCCCGGGGCAGAACCACCTGGATGCTCTCCCCCGGTGACATTTGGCGCCGGGGTTGGTGGGTGGCTGGGGTGGAGCGAGAGGAGCCCGAGGGGGCGGGGGCGGAGAAAGGTCAAGGCGAGGGGAAGGCAGGAGCCGCCTTCGCCTAACCTGCGCGGCGGGGCGTGCGTGCGGCTCTCGCTCCCTTGCCTGCCTCTCCGCCGACCGCGCGGGCGAAGCTGCGCGCGGAGCTCGGGGGAGATGCGGGACCACCCACCGGCGGGGAAGCGGCGAGCAGCCCTCTCGCGCCCCCGCGCCGCCGCCGAGCGCCTCCTGCCTCCGCGCCCGGACGCCAGCCCGCTCCCGCCTCGGCCCCGGCCCCGCGCCGCCAGCGCCCGCCCCGCAGCCCCCTAGCCACTTACCCCCAAGCCAGCCGCAGCCGGGTCGGGGCGCTGGGGGGCTGCGGGGCGCCGGGGCTGCGGGGCTGCGGGGCTGCGGGGCGG